TTCTTAAGGATCATGTGACACTTTATACTGGAGTAATGGCTGATGGAAATTCAGCTTTGCATCACATAAATAAATGATATTTTAAAGGATATTAAAATAGAAACCATTATTTTATATTGTAATAACATTTTGTAAGATGACTGTTTTTTTTCTGTATTTGATGAGCATAAGAGACTTCTTTAAAAAACTTTACAAGTCTTACTGATCCCAAACTTTTGAACGGTAGAGTATATACACACACTACTGTGCAAAAGTCTTAGACCACTAGTATTTTCACCAACAAAAAATGGTTTTAAGCCAGTTATTTCTATCTTTTGCTGTAGTGTGTATTTAGTCATAATTTTCGTTGACGAAAGCAACACTACTGATCAGTGTTTTGATTCTAAACATGAATATCGAAAAAGTCAATAACATGCTCAATATTGTAAACAGATATATATTGTTCTTAGTTAACAATCCTCACGGTCTGCTTTATATGATTAAAATAATTCTATAATGTTCATCATAGTAAGTATTAAAATCTGAGATTATTTATTTATTTATTACATTTACTGCTTGCTTTATCATATAAAAATATGATATCATATTTATCATATTATTCAAATGTATTATATTTTAAAATGCTGCATTCGATATAAAACAAAATGTAACTTCCTAATGAACTGAAATATTATTTATTTGTTATTTTTTATGTCTGCTTTATATGACTGAAAATGTTATATAATATTTATCATAATATTAAAATGTTAAATTAAATTAAAATAATACAAAATATTTATTAGTAAAGTTATTCAAAACTTATTTATTACATGTTTACTGTCTGCGTTATATGATTAAAATAATTTTATATAATATTTATCATACTATTAAAATTTATTACATTTAAAAGGCTATATTTGAGATAAAATATTTCTCAGTACAATTATTTTAACAAATATTTATTTATTACATTTTAAAATGACAATACAAAATATAACTTCTTAGTAAAATGAATAAAAAATATTTATTACATGTTTACTGTCTGCTTTATATGATTAAAATAATTTTATATATTTATAATACTATTGAAATGTATTAAATTAAAATTTAAAAGGATATATTTGATATAATATAAAATATATCTTAGTACAATTATTTTAAAAAAATATTACAGTTTAAAATGACAATACAAAATATAACTTCTTAGTAAAATGAATAAAAAATATTTATTACATGTTTACTGTCTGCTTTATATGATTAAAATAATGTTATATAATATTTAATCATATTAATTATCAAAATGTATTACATTTTAAAATGTTTGATATAATACAAAAGAATTTCCTCATAAAATTAAAATTTATTATTTTTCTTCTGTCTGCTTCATATGATTAAAAATAGTATACAATATTTATAATATTATTAAAAGGTATTACATTAAAATTTTAAATTTTATATTTGATATAATACAAAATATAGCTTCTTATTTATTTATTTATGTTCTACATTTTGAGGTTAGACTTTTTACTTAAGTGCATTTCTCTGGGTATATTTATTTTTAAAATCCAATTTCTGTATAAACCTTAATAAATCGTGACTACATAATCTACTGAATTAAATTTAAACAGTAAAACTTATGAAAGTTATGAAATGCAAAATCTTATGCAGAAACGTAAAACGGTAATACACAAATATTGTAACTCTGTATAAACGTATAACATAAATAATATGTTAAAACGTATTAAAACGTATAATATAAAAATATGTGGCAATCTGATGCAATAAAATCACAGCTATGTGGCCCCAACCTAATATTTATGAAAAAGAGGCTAGTCCTAGGAACACAGTTGTTGTTGTTGTTTTCCATTCAGTTATTATGTGAATGCTTTCCTTTGTAGAAGTTGAAATATTTTCTGGAAGAACACACTACAAAAGCACAGCTGTGATTATGAGATGTGTCACTTCTGATATCAGCCTCATTCTGCGCATTGACAAATGAGACAAATGTTATCGTCAACGTGAACGGTGAAACGACTAATGCTCTGCTCGTGTGAGACGCTCTGGCAGGCTGTCTGGAGCTGGCAGCAGCGTCACACAGCAGTCTTTCATACCCGTCGCGGCGGGAGTTTGTGACACTTCTTTTTGGTATCAAAAGAAGTAAACACACAACTTATCAATTGAAGCTAGGCAAAAATGAAATAAATAAAAACACAAACATTTCATTGATTGCCCTGATATTTTGATCAAGGAGCCCAACAAGACAGCACACTTTCTGGCTGGAAAAGACCATTGGAGATTCAGGGCCAGTGAACCACTAAATTACTCAACGTCTCTTTAATTACTGGAATCATGTGCGACACCAGAATTAAGCTCAGGAGTTCAAAACAAAAACTAACAGAAGCTGAAGGGTAGGCTAGATATTGGAATTTTTAATTGCACCATCACATAGAATTGAGAAACTGCTTTTAATTTTATACATCAGTGCAAATAAGATGTACATAGGTCTTCAGTAAGTAGTCTAAATGTGAAAAGAAAATAGTTTTGGTTAATAAATTGTATGATTAAATTTTTTTTTTTCTCTAACATCTCAAGGTTTACACGTTAACATCAACTCAAGTCCAATTTCTGTATGTAAAAAAATGTGTCATTTACATTAAATTTTTTGTTAAATAATTAGATATTTGTAGTGCTGTCAAACGATTAATCGCGATTAATCGCATCCAAAATAAAAGTTTTTGTTTACATAATATATGTGTGTGTACTGTGTTTATTTATTATGTATATATATATATATATATATATATATATATAAATACACACACATACAGTATATATTTTGAAAATATTTACATGTATACATTTATATTCAGATAATTTATATTATATATAAAATTACATATATTTAAAATATAAACATAACATATAGTTTTCTTAAAAATCTACATGCATGTGTGTTTATTTATTTAAATATACATAATAAATATACAGAGTATACACACTTATATTATGTAAACAAAAACTTTTATTTTGGATGCGACTAATTTGTACCAATTATTTAAATCAAATAATAAATTAACTATAATTATTTGAAATATAGATCAATATCTAAAATTACAAAGTAAAAGTATGAAATTTGTATTTTTTTAAATTATTAAT